CGGTGTCCAAACCGGGGCATTTGGGTTCAAACCCATCGGCAGCTGTCTCCAAGTTGGCTTATCACGACCTACCTCGATCTCGTGACCGCGGTAGCTCCCGACCGCCAAACTCAGGATCCTCTCCTACACGGTGCTAGGGACCGTATATCCGTCGTTGTTGGGTGGTTTTTTCGAGGGTTAACTGCACTTGCGGGCCTCGGCCTCCCCCGGGGAGGGGAGGAGGGGGGAGGCGGAGAACGAAACCGTATGAGCATTTATATTATGTGCCAAAGAGGATGTCAGCGGGGGTATAGAAGAGGAGGCATGCGCGCCGAGAGAAGGCAGCTGCTCGCAGGACATTCCATTTGCGCCCGATCACGTTGAAGCATCATCAGTGCTGGAGCACAGGGACTGCTAAACGTACGAGTGGACAACACTGCCAGCTACTACCTGTTAAGACGTTCTGTTCCGGGGAGTTAGTGTTGTCGTCTTTGCCGGCGGGGCGAAGACCAAGAATCTGGGCGAAGGAGTCGATCCCCCGTTCTCGGAGAAGCGTTGACTACTTTGGTACGTGCGATGTGACGTTGCGTGTGGTTCCACAGCACAACAGAGAGCGCTAGCTGTTAGCAGACAGCTCTCAGTGCACAGTGATGCGCATCGTTATCCATGAGGCACACGGGGGCATAGGCCAAACGGGCAAAGGCCATGTGAAGTTGACGGGCGGGTGTGAATATGACATGTCGATGTTCTTGGGGCTTGCTCGAGCAGGGCGATGCCTGGCTGATGATGCTACTGCGGTGCGTGCGCTGGTGTGCATGGAGCGGCACAGTTTCAATCACAAGGGTTACAAACCTAGTGTGCAACACGCGACAGAGGATATCATACGAGAATGCGACACAACCGAACCCCTGTGCGTGCGAAGAAGGGTCACCAAGACCGCTGAAGCGGGCCAATTTGGTTGTCTTTACAAACTTCAACGCGTGCGTAGGAAATACAGACTATACGTCGCAAGAGCGGATGTAATTTCTAATTTCCGGTACAGCAGTCTCGAAGACTGCTGTGGTGTGGTTGTGATAACACAAATCACAATTACCAGACGAGGCACAAAGTTTGAGTGCAGGTCCTCAATAACACGACAAGGCACAAATATTCGAGTGCAGGTCCGTCGGCTTGAGGAAAAGGTGGCCAAGAGACGAAATACATACTAATACGTCGCAAGAAGAGCGGCGGTAATGTTTTTTTTTCCGGTACAGCAGTCTCGGAGACTGCTGTGGTGTGGTTGTGCTATCACAAATCACAATTATAAGACGAGGCACAAGTTTGAGTGCAGGTCCTCGATCACACGACGAGGCAAAAATATCTGAGTGCAGGTCCGTCGACCCGAGGAAAGGTGGTGTGTATCCACACCAACACCCAACACCCACTTTGATTATGTTGCAGCAGCTTGTTATTCGTGTTCACTTGATGGACGGGTGTTTTTCCCACGAGGTTTTCCAGATGTCAATGTGGACCGGATAGAAAGGGGGTGCGATGACTGATGTAAACCATGGTGGCTTGTCATCTGGCGATGAGTCGTGGTTATCAGGAGCCGAACGAAAGATGTGTAGCACGTATGCCGCTGGTGCGATTGCGGGACGGACTGCGGCCGTCAGGACACATACTCTTGTGCGGGCCGGTTTTGTACACGCGAATGTCGGTCGACGTGTATGGAAAAATCGGTGGCACGGTAAGCATTAACATACAACGAATCGATATAGAGCGAGCTAGTACGCTGGTGCGTATGATGCCGGCTCACGGTTATTAATTGTGGACCAGGGTACGGGTCATCCGGAGATGAGCCATGGTGGTCAGGAGCCGCGCACAAGTTGCGTGGCGTGTAGGTCGCAAGTGCGGCTGGGATACAGTGTGCGGTCGTTATGATACATTGCATACTGAATGTTGCTCGAACCGGTTTGCACGTACGACTAGGGGTCGTTGGCACGGAATTATCGGTAGAGAGGCAAAAAGACACAACGCGATATGTACAGGTGGTTATGGTACCACACTGTATATACCGCTGGTTACGCTAGAGCCTTCTGATGCGGTTCATCTGGAGATGAGCCGTGGTGGTCAGGAGCCGCACACAAGTTGCGTGGCGTGTAGGTCGCTGGTGCGGCTGGGATACTGTATCCGGCCGTTATGATACGTACTCATACTGAATGTTACTCGAATCGGTTTGCACGTGCGACTGTGGGTCGTTGGCACGGAATAATCAGTAGAGAACAAAAGACACAACGCGATATATACAGGTGGTTACGGTACCACACTGTTCGACCCTGGGGTTACCCCTATTTTGAGGCCAAAAATGTGTCCCAAACCGGGTGAACTTTTCGTGGCAAATAGACTGCGCTTTTCCTTCTTGGACCAATAAAAACGTTTGGAATTTGAATCAATATAAAAAGACACACGAACACACACGAACAGACTGGACAAATATGGTCAAGAGCGTTCACGCAGCAATGCGCGAGGTGGACACCCGTCACTGCGCTCACTGAGGCTGCTGGCACACACAAAAAGCCAGTGCCCCACAGCCCGACCGGTCATAGATGGCGGACCCCACCGGTTCGACGGCGGACCCGCCCGCTTCGACGGCGGACCCGCCCGTTCTGTTGCCGAAAATAAGAAAAAGGGCAACGGGCAAACAGCAGGGCAGTTGTGAGAGCGGGAATACCAAAAATTGCGCGCTGCTGCTGCTCCTGCTGTATTTTCTCGCTCTCAACACCAAGTCTGTCGATGATAGCAGCTGCATGCAGCTTCGCCTGCCTCTCTTGGTATCGTCCTGCTTATGTTGGTTCTATCAACCTGTAGGACTCGGAGGCATACGAAGTAGTCGCACTAGAAGGGAACAGCAAGGCCAAAAACACACGAGGGCAAAGACACGATGACTGTTGGATCTTGGGAGTGTACAATTACCAAATTGGGAGATGCAGCATACCACGATATCCTGGCTTCGGCTGGGCTTGAAATAACCATTTTGCTGTCCTCCACTCTTTGCAGGAGTGGCTTCCTAGGTTCGGGCGAGGGCATGTGTGGAGCTATGGCAGTGTATGTGTTGCTATTTTGTTTGAGTCACTTAGCTGCTGACACAATGACTGTTGGATCCTGGGAGTGTACGATAATCAAATTGGGAGATGCAGCATACCACGATATCCTGGCTTCGGCTGGGCTTGAAATAACCCTTTTGCTGTCCTCCGCTCTTTGCATCAGTAGCTTCCTAGATTCGAGCGAGTGCATTTGTGTAGCTGAGATGTGTGTCTACGTAAAAGAACATGTGGAGAGAGTCGTATTGGCATTCGCATCAAGCGCATTGCGCATTTTTCGAGTTTTGGCCCCCTTCCAGGGACCTTGATTTTAACCCGCTGGCACTGACGTCTTTTAATTGGTCAGCCGGTTAGCGCGGTCGATGCTAATAATAAAAACACACACACACACGCACGTACGCACGCACGCACCTTGTTCCTCAAATTAGCATTTCTCGTCTCGGCAACCTTTCCCCACGCCGACG